CCGGCCGCCCGGCCAATCACCGCCGGGCAGACTCCCGCGCCCCTTCCGCCGCGCCCGCTGGCGTCATCGGGGTGCGCCGCGCCCCGCTCCGGGGAACACCTCCGGACCTCCCCGTGCTCCGGGGCCGCTGCGGCGGGAGGAGCGGGGCACGGCAGGCGTGGGGCGGGGTGGGCTCGTCAGCACCGGAGCCGGGAGCGGCCGTCATTTTGCATAACCCATGTACAGACCCGCAGGGAGACGGGGCAACGGCTGGCGGCCCCGACCGTGCGCCGGTCTTCGTTAAGAATCCCCAGAAGGGGGCCGAGAAGCCCCTCTCGGGGTGTGACCGCCCGCACGACGCCAGTGGCGGTGGTGGCAGCGGCCGGGGGGCCGGGGGGGGGCAGGCAGAGGGCCAGCTGGGAGCCTTGGTACCGGGGAGAAGGGACACCGCCGTGCCAGAGCAGCCTCCGCCCGTGCAGGGGCAGCCAGAGGGGTTCTTTTCACCCGCGTTATTTATGATTTGCAAACCAGCTGCGAGCCTTGGTGACACTTGGAGGCGAGTGAAGGCCTCTGGAGTGTTTCGTGAGAGCCGAGTTCAGCAGCGGCCGCGGTTAACGCGGTGCGCCTTAACGGCCTGCGGAAGAAAAGCGGCCGGAGACGGCACGGTCCCTGCTGGGTGAAGGCTGCCGGGGCCGGGGGAGCGTGACTTTGAGGGGTACCTGCCAGCCTCAGGCCAACAGCCCCCAACACCCGGCCTGGCACACGCGTGTACGTGCCGACAGGGCACCCGGGAGGTGCTGGATCCGGCCTTGCTGCTTCTAGTGCCCGCACACCCCGCGCTGGCGGTAACCGACCTGCTCTGGCCCCACCGAGCGGGCCGGGAAGGTCCACTGTCCCCCTGGGGGCCAACCCGCAGGTCTCCCCCGGGGCCGGGGAGGGGCATAAACACTCCCCCTGCGGGTCCGCTTCGGCCAAACGCGCCCACGCGTGTCCCCGCTGCCGTCAACCGGGGCCGTGCCCAGGCCTGCCCGGGTACCGGGGCGAGCCCGCCGGCGCTTCATCCCCACCTCCACCGCCCGCTCCGAACCGAGCCGGGGAAGCACGAGGAGACCCGAACCGAGCCGAGGAGGCCCGAACCGGGCCGAACGCTGCCGAGGGCGTTCCGAACCCCGCCGAGCCTGTCTCCGAGCCCCGTCGGGGCGGAGCCGAAGGCGGCCGTGCTGGGCTGGGCTCCGCAGTGGCGGAGGGGACAGGGGAGGGGACAAGGGAAGGTGAGGGGCGGGGGGGGCTGCGCGCGGCCGCGCTCGCGCGCGGCGGGGGCGCGCGCGGGGCG